CCCTTTTGAAATTGCTGGCTACGGGTCTGGGAGCTGAAGAAGGGCACGGGTAGTACTGCTACCAAAACGTGAACTGCCTGGCCCCAAGTCTACCGTTTACACCCCAAGTTCAAGGCTTTACTGGAAACTAACCCATAGAACTGTGAAACTGGGGCTGATCCATTTGCTTCTCAACTGAGATATATATTCATACATAGTAAAACGAGCAATGCTACGATGAAAACTGCCGTCAGCACATACAATAATTGCTAATTACACTGATGGCTCTTATCAAACCATGATGACGTGAAACATTGTGCAACATATGGCGCTAGGTACGGGTCATGTAACAACAGCGTGTTTTATGAAGTTATTTCTTATGTCGCTTGCATTAGCCATAACAATTAGTGTGACATAAAACATTTTATTTTTTATACACTATCTTTACCAATAGATAAAAATATTTCTGGACGGGACTANAACTGTTTTAACTGTAAGTTTTAAAAAATGCACCAGAATGCAGTATTATACATACACTTTTTAAAATTTTTCCACACCGTGGGACACCCCCTCCCGCAACCTCCCCACTCAGGGGGCTTTGCCCCCTCGTGTCCGCTTACTGCCCCCCCTGGCATTTTGCTCAGGCTACGGCCCTGGAAACACTTCATGAACTTTGGCATGTGATGCATTAATTTGCTGATCCCTGTGAATTATGGCATTTAGGTTTTCATTATTTGTTAAAAAGAATATAAGAAAGGAGGGGTTCCTTGTCATAACAGTTCTTGATTCATACTTTTGTCCAAGCATGTTGAATTGTTTTCGAATTTATTTTCGTAGACCTATAATATCACATATCAACAGTCTCAGCCAAAGAATTAGGCCCTATGTCATGAAAGTAATTTGACATAATTGCACTCTACTTTTAAGTGAAAAAAAAAACAATCGAGGTTAAAATTTAAGTATCATTTTCCCACCCAAAAGTAAAATAAACCAAATATCTGAATGAAAAATAAGACAAGGAGAAACCAGTTTATACCCTTAGGATAGAAAGTGTGCAACTGTTTGTAGACAACATCAGAGTGAACACATGCAACAATACTAATTTTTGGACCGAAAAAGTAAAACATGAATCTGATCATCTTCAGGCCGCAGGGAAGAAGCTAGTTTCACTAGACACAATATATCAATCGGCATATCTTTTAGGTCTGAAATAACATGGAAAGTAAAACATGAATAAAGTCGTCTTGTATCCCCGAGGCAGTACTACCAAAGCAAACCTAAATCTTTTGACCTGAAAATGTAAAACATAAATGAGATATCCTTGTTACTTCGGGGCCGGGGCTGGGATTTGCTGCTGGCGACTGATTGTATATCTTTCATACCCCCCCCCCCCCCCCCCCCCCCAAAAAAAAAACGCTCACACAAATGAAATATCCTTTACTTGATGGCAGCTTTTGAATAAATACAAACTACTCAAAAAAACAAATTCTGCAAAGTCAATAACGGTAGGGATTATGACTGTCATGTTTACATGTTCATATTGATTATTAATTTTATTCGTTTTTTGATACCTTACGGTAATATCATATACACGTACGTCCGTCTGTCACTGCCACGGAGAGTAAAGCAAAATATCTCTATCTGAACAGTATACATCTGAATTTTTGTGATTTTTCTGTGAAAGAATATCATTCACTCCATAAACAATATATCTCGCTGTTGAAATCTTCCCGACCTCTCCCACGCTACTGGGGAGTCAAACAGAGAAATTAATCAAATTTCGCCAAAACTCGGGTCATTAAACTGAAGTCCAGTTTGTAAATTTTAACCCTGAATTATTTACTGTATAACTTTTATCTCTGAGCATCATCGTCACCACAGGTGATTAATCGGGGTGATGAGGCTAAAACATAACAAAATAGATAAGATAAAATTATATTTACTTGAAGATCGGTTTTCCTTAAACGGTCTCATCACCTTGTGTTCATTGCTGACGTCCAGGGCGGCCTGAAAACGTTTTAATCTGAATGTAAGGAACGTGACGCATGGGAAATTCAAGGGGAAGAAAATAATGCTTAACAGTGCGTGTGTGTGTGTGTGTGTGTGTGTGTGTGTGTGTGTGTGTGTGATGAAGAAAGAGATTGTGCGCGCGCGTGTATATACATGTATGTGCGTGAGAGAGAAAGAGTTAGCGAGAGAGAATGTGTGTGTGTGTGTATGTGTGAGAGAGAAAGAGTTAGTGAGAGAGAGTGTGGGCGTGCGTGTGTGTGTATGTGTGTGAGAGAGAGACAGAGAGAGGAAAAGAGAGAGAGAGACAGAGAGAGGAAAAGAGAGAGAGAGAAATAGACAGAGAGAGGAAAAGAGGGAGAGAGAGTTGGGAGCGCAGACCCGTAGCTAGGGGGTGGGGGTCGAAAGATTTATGTAAATCTCATCTAGGTACCCGAAGGTTTCATGGTAAGTCCACATTTTCAGAAAAAGAAACCCCCTTTTGAAATTGCTGGCTACGGGTCTGGGAGCTGAAGAAGGGCACGGGTAGTACTGCTACCAAAACGTGAACTGCCTGGCCCCAAGTCTACCGTTTACACCCCAAGTTCAAGGCTTTACTGGAAACTAACCCATAGAACTGTGAAACTGGGGCTGATCCATTTGCTTCTCAACTGAGATATATATTCATACAAAGTAAAACGAGCAATGCTACGATGAAAACTGCCGTCAGCACATACAATAATTGCTAATTACACTGATGGCTCTTATCAAACCATGATGACGTGAAACATTGTGCAACATATGGCGCTAGGTACGGGTCATGTATACAACAGCGTGTTTTATGAAGTTATTTCTTATGTCGCTTGCATTAGCCATAACAATTAGTGTGACATAAAACATTTTATTTTTTATACACTATCTTTACCAATAGATAAAAATATTTCTGGACTACATATTTCAGAGTAACAGCAAGTTGAAAGATGCATTTGTTTCAAACCATGATCAATGTATCCCGTCATGATGAATTATATTTTTATATAATTCTCTGAATTATTGCTAAACATTTGTATTTCTTACATAGTCTGCATGTAACTCCGCACTGTTGGCAAAAATGGAGACGGGTGGGAGAACAGAGCGACCAGATCGGCTGACTGCGGTGAACTAATCGTAACAAGGTCCACCTAACTTATCAGGAAACATGACTTTTAAAAAAGGGACTTCTGTCTGTAGAATAACGCCGAGCGTTTCCTGGGTCCCCGGCTAGCGTGACAAGAACCCATAAGACCTCCACCACATCCTAACTAATGCGGGGAAACGTGCCGAAAATACTGATAAATTTTCAATAGGAGGAACTTATCTGAAATTAAAGAAGAAAATTGTTTATTTCTTAACTTTTGTTGCTGAACTTTTGACTTTGGTCATACACGAGCAAACAATTGTAGGGAATTACTTAAGAGGTTGGTCTCTGTAATTTGTGCCCAGGGGGTCTTAGAGAGAGATTACCCGCGTGTCTGTAGAGTGAACAGAGGACACCGGCTTATAAGGAGAGAGAGAGAGAGAGAGAGAGAGAGAGAGAGTACAGTTTCTGTGCATCAAGGTGAACTCCCGTTCATATATATATACATCTAAGAAAGATTTTTTTCCTGAAAATATTAAAATCATATCCGAAATTCTTCGTTCTTTAAGGCTGTATATTACTGAGGTATCTATCGTTGTGTGCTAGCGACAAGGGTCGTTCCATACCTCCAAATTTAGTCTTTCAAAATTGATCAAGAAATGAAGCTACTTATTAGAAGTTTAAAAACATCCATGCTTAATGTCAACTGCAATAATCACAATCGAGTGCAGCACATCCAGTCACAATTAGAGTTTGTCTTCTCTAACGCAATCTACGCAGACGCGTCTTTGAGAACGTTGTTCTTGATCTTCACCTTTTTTCTTACACCCAAATAAACTTTTTTGTTACTATACAAAAACAGATTTGTCTTACATTATCAAGCACAACTCTAAGAATACTTAGATTTCCAGTACTAGAATACCGCCGAGATACAGAGAGAAATTGTATGCGAGAGAGAGAGAGAAGGCAAAACTCTGGCACAATACGGCTAGACCAAAAAGAAAATATTTTCTGGGATAAAATGTCATCAAAGGGGAAATATGCAGAAAAATGAGTTCAATCTCAGAGTAAATTGATGTCATCCCAAAGCACAGACAAATATCAAATTTGAAGAACAAGGTGTTGTGTTATGTATTGCAGTAGAAAAACGCGTAATATTACGGAAGGCAATCACAGTTTCCCCCAAAAAATCTTAGCCTTCACGACAAGTGCAATTGTCATATTTAAAGTCACGTAGTCAGCTTCTATAATGCAATTTATTTGAACAAAACTTCCAATTATGTTCACGGTGGCAGAGAAAACTTCCGGTAAAATTGTGTCATATTTTATATTTTTAGGTTACTCTGTTTGACGTCCGTTTTTTACTTGCGTATACAACACGCTGCCTTTAAAAATTAAAAGAAAAATGTTCGTTGGATGGCGTTTAATTTCCAATTAACAATTTCTTTCGAATAAATACCAAAGTGACTTTTATTCTACGCGATATGATTTCTGTTTGCGTGAATCAAAGAAAAGCAAAAAACACATGACGTAATGAAACAATCAAAGCCAAAACACATTTTACGTTAAAGGTCTCGCGCTCACCCTTGGTCAAAAAAGCATAGACCGATTGCACACGACGTCAGTTACTGTCCACTTGACTTAAACCTTTGCAGCATACTTCCAAAGGGTGCCCCCCTCCCCCCCATCCTTCCGGACTCTGCTGCCATGTATTTTTGGTAGTGTTTCAGATTATTACCACCCTCCCAAAAATTGTAGTTCCTCCACTGCTTTTATACATGGTTTACACAGAAAGGGCGCAATGTGAGGTCAACCTGCAAACTGCAGTATATCAGGATGCGGACAGTGACGCTAGAAGGTAGTCCAGCGATGACGTCGGTGCAATGGGTCTATACGGATATCTACAAAAACGCCATACTGAAAACCAACACTCATATAATGTTATAGCACCAAACAAGCAAAACCTGGCCATTTGAACGACTAGAATACATACAGTATTCTTTGTAAAAACTAAAAACTCTCAATACAAGTGAAACTTTCAAAGTTAAACTGAATTTGACATATCATAAGAAAAACCAAATGCTGGCAATACTTTAACTATAAACTATGAATATGAACAGGCAAGACCGGCAGTTAAATGATTACATTGAAAACGTTGGCAGAATGTATTTTGCACTTTAAACATACAAACGATATAATACTGTTAAATATTCTAATGACAGTGAACATAAAATCTAACTAAGGTAAATGAAAATAACAACTGGATATCATAAAGGATGTTTGATTTTGATAAATTTAGAATAATAATACTACGGTTCACATGGCTTGAATTCCTTGTTTTATGGCACAAATGAGGTATAGTGTACGCTATGCTAGTTTTGAATACCGATCTTGTATAGTAATAAACCTTTTTGTAAGTTTTTGTCATAAATTTAAGTCCATCCCTAGACAGATCCCATAAAATTCACAGCACACCACAAAATAAAATATATCATACATAAATAAAATCCGCTATATTTTACAAATATCTAAAAGTAATACTTCATGACGGACATAAAGCCACTGGTCCCACTACCATTTTCTGAAAGCAAAACTATTTTAAAATCTGAGAAACAGACACTCCTTCTGAAATTTCACTTTATAATTTCACTAAATAATTCATGGATGCTGCTTCGAATAGTTTTCAGATATCTCACTGGCACTAACTTTGGCAAAAATAAAACACAAGTTTTGAACTTGTCACTTGTATTTTAGTTATAGTAATTGAAAAAGAGGTTTTTAAACTTAGGAATATAGTCAAAAATAGTCTATAGTGGTTATGATAAAATAAGAAAACTCTCAAAATATTTCTCTCTTAATAAATTGATAAGTTGTCATCTATGTAAAATATTAACACATATTTGCTGCACTTTTCAAATTCAATAAAATTGTGACCTGCATAAAAACAACCACACTTTTTTTTCTTCAAATTTTGTCGCTGAACAGGCTGTTCCAGTGTTGCATTTCATGGGTTCTACATCTAGTGACATGGCAATGTGACAAGTAGATATATATACAATATACAAACACCACAACACTTCTAATGATCCATCTTTCTCTCTTCCTCACAAAGCTGCAGGAAATATGATCAGTGTTGTGAAATCATTTTGATGAGATTCCGAGCTGCCTACGAATGTATCTTGCCACAATCTTCTGAGGACGTTGCTGCCACTCGCTCATGATTTCGTGTGGGGTGGACACTTGATCTCCCTTCAGGCGGTCCAGGAGGGTGGCACACACAACTGCACCTGTTGGAGGAGGGGGCAGAGAATATCATATAAAACTGATATTACAATCAACACAAAACTAACCCTGGTTTCAGGTTTGATGTATGAATGTTTCTTCACTTTCAAATGTCCAGACCAGTATGCAAGCCTATGAGACACAACTTGCACCTTTTGATGTGAAGCTGAATACCAAATGATTGGAAGCTTTTGGTAAACAAAACAGAAATTGTATAACAGATATAGGGATAAGAGAGAGTAAGAGAGAGAGAGAAGAAGCAAAAGATGCTACTTTTCTTCGTCATTTTCATTGTTTTCACCCAAATTGTTTTTCACCAAGCAACATTTCAAGAATTTTACTGGTACTCACACCAACTCTTCGAAATTTAAGCCAAGTTCCTAATTTGGTATGCAATTAGATCCAATTGTAGCCAATTAATGTAGAATGTTTCATTATAGGCAAAATAAATCACTTTCTGTAACTAGAAAAGCACTCTGAGAGCGCAGACCTCCGCCAAGGAAGTGATTTTTGATTATTATTAATTATTGATTGGTTATTGATCCGGATCACCACCAAAAACTAATCAGTTCTAAGTTTACCCATTTCCCACCTACCCTGAACATTTCATTAAAATCGGTCTATAACTTTTTGAGTTATGTTGATGACAAACAAACAGACAGACAGACAGACAAACAGGGGTGAAAACATAACCTCCTTGGCGGAGGTAACAATTTAAAATGACAGCCAGACCCCCGTGTCATTTCCATGTTACCTTTTAATCCTGCCTGATTCAACATGGCAGCAAAACAGATACATTCCATCTCGATATTTCTGACTCCCTTGTCGTAAATCTCCCTGAGGAACTGCATCTTATCTTCCTCTGTGTAGTCGCACAGTGCTCCGTCTAGGCGTGCCTGACCTGGAAAATACAAACATGGCGGAGGGTTAAATTCAGCTATTAATTTTTGAAAAAAAGGGCCAATTAGTTATCATACTGGCATCTGGAAATAGATTTACCATCTGTATTTCTAAATTTCATTACATGCACAAAATGCCTTTGCTTCATTACAGATTCTCATAGCTAAATATGCTTTGGTTCTTACAGTTAGAAAAAATAATCATTTTTTACACTTCAATGCCTTTCTATTGTCTTGATATCCAACAGCAGCACATTTTGTATATGGTAAATAAAGATTAATTGTCAAAATGAATTACTTCAATAAACAAGTGCTCTACCTTCATAGAAGTCATCCGTACACATGGTTTTCCCCAGTACTGTCTGGAAGTGATCATCCGCCATAGCACAGTCCAGCAACTGGTTAGTAAGACCTCGGTCAAGATCTGCTGGACGGGTCACTTTCTTACCCAAAATGGCCTGGAAACATAACAATACAAGTATGATTGAAATATAAAGATGATGGATACATCCAGGAATCGATAAACTGCAGCCAAGTAATGCACATTTTTTTGGGATCTTAAAATCCTAAAAATCCAGACTTAGACATTGATTAATTTGGGTGAACCCTCTCCCCCTCCCCTCCCTCTCCCCCTTCCCTCTCCCCCAGGGTCGGATCCAGAGATATTTTCTGACAATCTTCCAAATTATCTTTGTTGACCTATCCTCCATTTTTGACCGTCTTCCGACAGAAAAAATTAGATACTTGTGAATGTAAACTTGAAAATCTGACCGTCTTCCGGAAGACCCAGAAGACGGCCTCAATCC